ACAGTATATACTGTATATGTGTAGGCAGAGCCTGACATCTGTCGTCATCACGTCACCTGCTTAAAGGCGTGACTAGAGGTGGCTTCAGCTAGGACATGCAGGGGCRTGGTTTCCCATACATGATGTGTTGTACCTCGTTTCTTTCCTTCAGGGAACAGTAGTTATATACATAACACTAGGTTTTCATATTGTCTCATTTCTGCAGTGGGAAGATGTTCAGATAACCTGAGGTGACCTTTGGTGCAGAAACTCAGCTCAAAGCAGCTTCTCAGTCTGTTCACAGCCACAGCAGCTGACTGTTGCTTCATTTGCACAACTTTCTGCAGACATATTATGAGAAGATAACCTTTGATTTAGTTGAAGCTATCTGCTGAGTGTGCAGACAAACACCAAGCTATCAACTGATTCGTCATTCCCATTAAAATAAACAASGCAAGCAGCACAGCCCTGCTGACACAGGGTTGTGACAGCATTACAGTGTTAAAAACATCAACCAGGATGTGGACGGTCCTTGAATGGTTTTGAAAAGGTGACTTGGTTGCTGACTGGTCACAATGGGCTGATACTTCACCTACAACCATTTGTGATAAGGTCACATTGATATTTACACTGTATGTATTGTCTGTGGATGATTCATTCATTTACTGGGATTTTTTTTTACATTTTTGAGCATCACACACAGAGTTGTAAAGTAACTAAGTACAAATACTTTGTTACTGTACTTCAGTAGAATTTTTGGGTATCTGTACTTTACTTGAGTAATTATTTTTCAGCCTACTTTTTACTTCTACTTCTTACATTTTCACACAATTATCTGTACTTTTTACTCCTTTCATTTTTTAAAAAAAGGCAAGAAGTAGAAAGTCGTTACTTTTATTTCATTTGTGTTTGTATTCATCCCAGCTGCTTATTGTACAAAATAAATATCCATGTAAATTGTGCCTCCTAGATAGAGTGAATTTAATTTTGGTTGAATGAAAAGTGTGTTTATATATAAAAAATTCTGATACCGTATTAGTTTATACACAAACAAATCATGTCACACTCCAGCAGGACATAATCATTAAAATAAAAGGACTGTACTTAAGAAGTATTTGTATTTCATGAATTATATTATTGCATTTGGCCGCAGCCCTCAGATAGATTTCCTCAAATTTTGGAGAAAATGTTTGGACACCCTTGATATATGTATATAAACTGAAACAGCTAGACTAGTGCATCCTAAATTTAACATAAATTAAACATTATTTTAATAAAACAGTCATTTCCGCATTTTGGGGTGGAGGTCACCTCTTAATAAATGTCGTTACAGAAAATCTAACTACTTTTACTTTTAATACTTAAGTACAAAAAATATCAGATACTTTAAGACTTTTACTCAAGTAATATTCCTAAAGGTGACTTTAACTTTTACCAAAGTATTTTTTGTAAGATACTTCAAGTATCACTTTGTACACTTAATACAACACTGAGCACACAACCCCACAGCACATTATTAGATTTACAGGCCATTTAAGTGTTTCTGTTGTAATTGGCTGCAGGGACTGTAAAGGTGCACRAAAAGCTTAAAGCCCCCCTTCTTCACATAATTTTGACATTTCAGGCTAAAGTGAAAGTATTTGTTTGTTTTTTCCTATCCAAAAATTTGAACTACATCACCTATTGAATWGTCACTTTCTAACAATCAGTGATCCACACATGTATATAAAAAAACTGACTAAAATAATAAAGTTAATTTAGAAATATTAGGCTTCCTTTAACTTTTTCTGCCAAACAGATTTTAAATTCAGATGTGGTTTTATGAGTCCTCAACAAAAATGCCATTTAATTTTGTTTTCACTTTTTTTCATAGATAGAATAGTTATATGTGTATATTTACATTAAACAATTAGATTTTACAGTATTCTAATTTGTTCATTTTTCAGTTTATATGCACTCAGTGATTGTCCTCCTGGTCTTACAGTCCCAGTCACCTTATTTTATTTACTATTTACATTTGGCAGATTCAAGGTGTTTCTGCAGATTATATTTCCTGGTGTTCTTCTGATTCTGTAGAGACACACATTATTCAAATGAAACCTCATTTCTTTCACCCACAGAGCTTTGAACAAAGGTTTGAGTTCATCATCTTGAGTCATGTTCACTGTGGATTCCCCTCTGCTGCAAACAAACCCAGATGTGTGGGGAAATAAATAAAACATGTTTGGTRATAAAACAGAAAAAAAATCATTAATCTTATTACAGCTGCACCTAGCAAAGACTGGTTCAATAAGATACTAATTCATAATTTTTCAGTTTCACAATTTAACACCTGTTGGGTGCGCTGCAAACATCTGTTCCTAATTTCACGGCTATGCATCAAATGATACTCAAAGTATCTGCTGCAATGTACCCTAACCAACTGTTTTGATGACTGAAAAAGACAGGTTTGTGTCGTCGTTTGAAAAAAAAATTTTGGTCATTTGACTATTTGACATTTGTTACTAATCCACACTTGCTGAAATATTTTAATTTCTGCAAAAGGAATGCAATACAACACTCAACACTGCTTTTCTAAAAGGATTTCATTTACTTTCTTAATGCATGATGCATGATGGATGCCTGAATGTGGAATGAAAACAATGCACTGCTGAGCTCTGGTCTGAACACATGGAGGTACTGTTTGTATGAGGGGAGGCTAACGAGGGGCTGGGCTACAGCTGTGACTAAAGAGATAAGGTACAGGTGCAGGTGGGCGTGGCAGGACTGAGGAGTAGGATCTGACTTGAGGGTGAGTAAATAATTGGCATGGTGGAAACATGTTCTGACAAAATGAGAACCTCTACATGAATAAATGTAACCCAAGAATTTTATTTCCTGTGAAAATGCTGTGTGAATGCTCAAAACTGAAAGATTTATGCTGAATAGTTAAATAATCTGAAACTAGCCTAAAATAGCTTTAAAAAACTCTAATTCCAACCTGAAACTAAGCCACAGAAACAGAAAGACCTGTTGAATTATACAGTAAGAAGCTGGAATTATCACAAAAAGTGAATTTATCTGGAAAAAAAAAAGATTGAAACAGCTAAAAACACAAAACAGCTGAAATTAGCAAAAAGCAGCTAAAGGAAGCATAAAAGTTTAATATGACATAAAAAAGCACAAAATGGTTGAAATTAGCAGAAGAATAGCCAAAAAAGGTTACAAATGATAGCTTAAAGTAGAAAAAGTCTCAAACTGGCTAAATAGAGCTGAAGGAAGCTGAAATTAGAACAAAGAAGATAAAAAAGCAAAACTAGAAAAAAAGGTAAAAGGTGCAGTAAATATTTTTCAATATTTTTATTTATTTACTGTCATTTCTCCAGGCAAATCCCACTGAAATCACAGCTCTCTTTTTCAAGGGGGGCCTGAAGGCAACCTATTGTACATGTTTTTAGGGATGGGGGAAACTGGAGTACCCGGAAAAAAACCCACGGAAGCAGGAGGTGAACATGCAAACTCCGCACAGAAAGACCCCAGGTCCGAACCGGGGATTGTACCCAGGAGCTTCTTGCTGTGAGGCGTCGGTGCTAACCGATGATTGATGTTGAAGACAGCTCCATTCATTTTCAATAAAAAAAAAAAGTGGGAGAAAAGCTAAAATTCTCAAAATATAATTTGCTGAAATACCAAAAGTCATAGCCTGAATGTCCTGAAGGGGATGAACATTTGGATATGTAAACTGTTGAAATAAAACAAACAGTGGAACAAGATATGTGTTGAAAAACGTGTAAGAAAAAAAAACAATCTCGTGTGAATGCTTATAAAGCATTTTCACAATGAATGACAAAAGATTACAAAATAAGCTTAAAAAACAGATCGACAAGTGACATAGTTAACTACTAAGATCTAAGGTGTTTACAATAACATACTTTTGGATGATTCTACATTCAACAAAGTGATTGCACCCATTTTAACTTTCACTGGCTTCCTTCTACTTTCACAATTGCTCTCATATTTCTTGTTCCCATTTCATCCTCCTCTTCCCTCCAGTCACAGAACAGTAATCTCTTCCATTTACCTTAAACCAAACTAAGGACCATGGCAGATTGGGCATTCTGTGTGGATGTCCTCCACTTTTGGAACTCCCTCCCCGACTATCTGAGGGCTCCACATTTTGTTTTTAAACACACCTAACACACCTGGCTCTGTTTGAAGGCATCATTAATTTCAAATATTTTTAACAAGGCTTAAAATCGAACATTTTCCCAACTCTGGCTGTAGTGTAATTTTATTATTATTTTGTTTTTTGATTTTACTAGTTTTATCATTTACTGTATGCTTTGTTTTGTAACACTGAGATTTTTGTTAATGAAAAGTATTACAA